TTTTTGGTTTTTTGAGACAGGGTTTCTCTGTGTAGCTTTGTGCCTTTCCTGGAACTGGCTTTGTAGCCCAGGCTGGCCTCGAACTCAGAGATCCGCCTGCCTCTGCCTCCTGCTGGGATTAAAAGTGTATGCCACCACCGCCCAGCTAAAGTCACAAATCTTAACTTGGTGTAGAAAGGAGCCACAAGTAGCTTGGGCAATGGAAATATCGTTCCCTACTAAAAATGAAACGAGATTAGTATCTGTTATTGATACCATGCTTTCTTGCTAATAAACCCCTCCTTTATATCTGATTGCCTATGAAACACTTCCTGCTTGTGAAACCTCCAAACTATAGTTACACAAAAATAAAGAGAAAACCCAGTTCGTTAATTGCAGTCACGTTTATTTGCAGTCTCTATACACACTTTCTAGGTAATCAAACTGTTCTGATACATTTTTGAGAGGGGTTCACAATGAAACTGTCACCGCTTTTACTAAAAATAAATACAAGACTTAAAGTGTTGCACAGCTGTAAAATATACAAAGGCTTGGATTGAATGTAAACGTTGAAAACATTTTACAAAAGAAACCATCTTTGCAACAATTTAAAAAGTTCATATTTACAAATGTTACAAAAATACAAAATGGATGCAAGTCCAAAAACCATTGTCTTTTCGGCCAGCATGAACTGGTTCTAGTACCAAAATAGTTACACCATAACCTTCAGAGTTCAAACTTTGTTACTATCTCATCCTCTAAGCAACCACCACTACAGAGAATGTGCTCACTGGCAAGAGCAAACGGGATGTTTTGTTTGCCACAACTAGTCCATGTCCTCTACTTAGCCAAAAACAAAAAAAAGAAAAAAATCAAACCAGAATCACCAGAAAGCAAGAAAGTAAAACAGAATTCCCCCACACAACATAAACTTGTTGGATAAACACAGAAGAAGAAGAAAATAGCATCAGTGCAAACAACAGAAGAATAGTTTCAATTTGTTTTGGGTTTATTTTGTTGTTGTTGCTGTTGTTTGTTTTAATTTTTTTAAACAATACCTAATGTGTGTACCCTGCTTCAAGCTGACAGTGATGTTAAAGACAGCCCTGCATCTTGGTCTTATTTAGTATATTATAAAGCCGTGTAGACTATTCCAGATTTTTTAAGGATTTACTTGCTTTTAAAACTTTCATATTTAATATTTTGTCCACAGTGAATCTAAAATCCATCTTTATTTGGGATTTCTTTAAATCTATGAAATACAAAATAGAGAAACTCTGCTATAGATTTTTAGAGTAAACAAAATAAGTAAAACTATATTATAAGGGTTGGTTCTGTGATCATCACCTTAATGGTACCTTATTGCCTCACAATTCAAGTCAAACATGTATTTTTAAAAATATATGGTACGATTACTTAAATTAATGTCAATAATAAAAGGTGACATTTTTATTAAAGCCAATTTATGTGTTTTTCTATTCAAGGTTTAGAATCACTTTTAAAGCCCACATACCTTTCTTCACACTATAAAACCCCCTAGCTACACAAAAGCCATACTGCAAACGAACTGCTTTTATGAAAATTACAAATGATCACCTATTGTGACTGGAAATGATGGTTCCTTATCACATTTGTCTAAAAACTTGGATTTTTAAAATTTTGTGGAGCGGACTTCTCAAAGCATGAGACAGATTTGTGCCCGACCCCACATGATGTCAACCCATGCTGGTTGTGCGCATGTGTATGTTGTTTGTTGTTTTTGTTTTTGAATGAGTTACATGTTCCAATGATAAATGATGGTCACTTTTTTCAATCCCCAACATTTTTCTTTTAATAAAATTACAACACGTTGTATATGTTCAAACCCTTGACCAGGTAGTTTTTCTATCCCCAGCACACACTTGCTCTCTCGCTCTCTCGCTCTCTCTCTCATTCTCTCTCCCAGTTTCTCAGTCTCCTCCTCTACCCCTCCACCCCCAACACCCATTTTACATACACCAATGACAAGAACTTAACTAATACAATTTGGTAGTAAAGACAAATCATAGGAGAAGCCAGACTCCCCCCCGCCCCCAAACAAACAAAACACAAACAACAGATTCTTTAATTCTTAATCTGTAAATATTATTATAATGAATTTCTCTTGAAAGACATTGTCTTCTTAGACCAGACTTTCTCCTTCATTTAGCATGAGTTAATCCTTTCATCCATCTTCCTTTCTCCAATTCCACTTGCAGAGGCCTACAGCCAGCTGCCTATCAATCTCTTGGTAACCCTGGCGTGTTCTGTCATTGTCATCACGTTCTAGTCTTTCACAGATCAGACCTCTTCTCAGTTCTAATTTCTACTGCTCCATCAAAACCTATTCTAAGTACATAGGTGCTTATATTTCTGACATATGATTTCAAACACAGTATCAGTTCATGTTAAAATCAGAGGTGTGAGAACCACTTGCAGATTTCAACTTGTTACTATACTTTTTTTTTTTCAGTTTTAAGACAAGAAAATTCAAGTAATTTCAAGTAATTCAGCTTGTTTCCCTGCCTTCATTTTATCAGGGCACTTTCCCTGACATTTCCTTTCCCACCCACCACCCTCCCCTTTTGCCATCAAGCAGATCTAGTAAAACCAGACAAAAATTCGTTGTATGTAGCATTGTGAACCAGAGCTGCTCCCCATGCCCAGTTGAAGAGTGAATATAAATAATGCATATACACATACCTATTTCCCAACTACATTGTTCACAGTGTCATTTCTGTTAAGTTTTAGGTAGCATGAATCTCATCAGCACAGAGAGAAAGCTTCGCTGAAAACTCATCGCAGGTACTTACTGAGAATTCAATAGCTCTGTGGCATGCTTAGGTTTTATTTGTTAGTTTAAGAACCTGGAGCTAATTAAGAAGCTTAAAGAGTATATTCATTAGAGTATGACTCTTTGTCCCCAGTAGCCTTATATAAAACAAGACCTAAAATTAACTACTGGTTTCTCTACTCATTCTCCTTAAAGCAATCCATTGAAAAAATTAGATTCTAAAGGACACTGTTGAATGCTATTGGGGGAGGGGGGGTCTTTCCATTGAGAATGATGATTTCTCTCATTGGTTAAAAAAAATCAGAAGCATGCTTTTCATTCTGTTCAAATTGCCACATGGCAAATCACAGCCACAAACTGACATTAGCTTGTTTCTGCTATAATTTGTCACAACAATGATTAGGTCTGAATTCACTATTTTAAATTAATCACATTTCAGTACATGACCTCAATATTTCCATTATTTCACCAGTTTTAAATTCATATTTGAGGTTTATCACTCAGAAATCATGTTGGTGGACATTTAAATATGGTATCTGATATGAAAATGGTATTCACAGAATACAGTTATTATACTTTATTTGTGTGTGTCCTATAAACAGTTGGTGTGTGGTAGATAATTGGCCACTTGTCCACTCATCATTGATAAATCTATTTACACATTTTATCAAAAATATGGTATTTACATATGTGTAGTTCTTTCATCTAAATTTTGCTTTAGTTCATTTTAATGTAAAAAAATACCAAACCTCCAGAGTAATTTAATCTTCTTAAAGTATGACAGTGAGGGCTTTATTTTCGGAATAGGCAGCTCTGGGAAAATCTTGTCTAGGTTTCAAGAAAGTTAGATATTTTTGTATTCTCTATTATCACAAGGAATGAGATTGGGTAAATCAAACTATGCTAAAGAAAACCACGACAGACAGAACTGCTACCTAAAACATGAAAACTAATAAAAATGACTCAACCACTTTCTGTTTCTCCAACACATATTTAGAAGCTCATTGCCAAGCAATGATGCCACACCGCCCCCCTCCCGCGGCCCGCCCCGCCCTGTTGCCACTTCTC